ACAACGTAATCGAGAATACGGGCAACTTGGATATTGATGTACTGCAGAAATTGACATACAATCTTTGTCACATGTTTCCTCGTTGCAACCGCGCAGTGTCTTATCCGGCTCCGGCATATTTGGCACATTTGGCTGCGGCACGTGGACGTGTCTACCTTACTGGGTGCGATATTATTATTATTATTGTTTCATATTTTCGTTCTGATAATGTCATCTTGACTGCTTTTCTTCCAGCTGCACCAAGTTTCGTTCTCCCCAGGTGGAGTACGCAAAGCGTTTGATAGTGCCAGAGTTCATGAAGACGAACCCTATGTATTTTGTTTAGGCAGAAAACTAACAAAATATCTTCACTTCTTCTAAACGAAAAAGAAGTTACAAAATATAAATTATTGACCCACACCTGTCTTGCCCTTAATGTAATAATCAATCAAAGATCAATCAATCGAAAGATTTCTATGGTAAAAGCTTATAAAACAGTACAAATAATTCAAACAAATTACAAACGAACACGACCTAATCACGACATAAGCCGAAAAGCAAGCCGGCGGGAGAGCTTCTGCTCAAGATGAGCTCCAGGTTATTCCTCAGAAGAATAGGGCTCGTGTGGAAATTAGGCTCGATCCCCCAGCAGCTTAGGTTCAGATCTGTTCTTCGTGCTTCCTCTTTAGCTCACGGCTACTGCTGCACGATGTTTTAAAATTTAGATTGCGGCACGCTATCATATCCGCCCTTGAACTGCTTTTACTCACGTACAAAATCCCCTTTCCGGTTACAGCTGACGAGGGGTGCTCTCTTGGTGTAGTCGCCGGAGAGGGCTTGACCACTTGATAAGTGATGGAGTCGTTGCAGCGACTGCACTGCATTTGACACATGCCAAACCAGGGAGTGGCCGAGGCGCCTGAAAGTGGATCCGAGCGCAGGGCTTGCAGAGACAGGGTGCCCCTGGCATTGCTCTGGCTCTGGCGGGCTCAAAACTCGCCAATTTTAATGTATGACCCTATGTAGCACAGCTTGGAAATGTAGTTGCGCTGGCAGTTACCAAAATTTTGGCAGGCTTGAGGTCCACGCGGAGCACGTTAAGCACACAGTAGCGCAGAGCAGCCACAATGTCCAACCGAATCACATACAGCACTCTGTGGATGAACGCCAACGCTAGCGTGTCCAGTATCCTACGGACACTCCATAACGATAATACTAAAGGCAACAGTGGACTCTGTTATTATGATAATTATGTCCCTTGATAATCTTCAAGCGGAGTAATCTGTTCAAAGTTCAGAAGCGATCAATAAGATATATCCATTTTATTGGGTAAAAAATACCGCGATAAATTGACTTAAAAGCAGTACCATATGCACCGCGGCCGAGAATTTGACACCTGGTGCGGATGGGGGAACATCCTTAAGCAAGTGATTGCGCTTCGGCGTGGTAAGCACAAGCTCAATTTTTCGATTAGCTACTGAAAATTAACAGCATTTGACTCATAATGAGAGATTTTCGATTTATTTCATTATTTTCACATTGCCTACATTTGTACAGTATAACGGTGCTTTCGCTTCAGCAGCTGTGTATAGGCGCTGGCAGACTGTCAGAAAATGAATAAAACCGAATGGCGCCACTGTTATCTACATCCCAATTACATCTCAATAAAATAAAATATTTTATAACTTTTTTTCCATTTTAAACTATTTATTTAATACTGCACACTGTACAATGTATGCGTCAAAAGCGAATCGTAATCGATGGTGTTCGAGGCTTGGCTTCGTTTTGGGCTTGATACAAACCAATAAATAATATAAAATCTAAATGCCGCTGAATCTTCATTCCCAAAATCACTACTGACGTTCTCCGTGCAGTTGCCCAGTCTCCATCCGCAAGATATATGCCAAAATATGCATATGCTAATCAAATCACAATAATATAAAAACGATTTTAAGGTGATATATATATTGAAATTTGATTAACAATTGTCAACTAGTAAACTAGAGGAAATATACAACATTTTCTCTAGATTATTATTTAAGAGGCTCTGACGTTTTGAAATCTATTCCAAAACCACCAGTTATGTTATGAACAATATTTTCAGCTTCCTTAAATGAATCCATTGACTTTGCTAATGGTAGCACCTTCGCTTCTACCAGCTCTTTTGCCAGCTCAATAGATTCAGAATCATCTGGGTTCAGCGTTTCAAGAACCTAAAATGTAAATATAGATTTTTTTTTTTACTAAATTAAAATGTTTTTTTGTTGATAAACATTATCTCTCTTACCTCTTTCATTTTCTCAATGTTATCTGCATAAAATTATGTTTATGATCGGTTATGATGGTAACTCCTTATTGAGTTGGTTGGTTGTAGCGTCGTACTCTAAGCGGACTGTTTATAATTTTATGAAAGTTTTGTTCACACAGGATATGAACCAGTTAGCGACATGAAATGTATCCTTACATTGTTAGCTGTTAAATTTAATGCGTCTTATATGCCGCGCTATTCGTTAAGAGCCATAATACTTTTAACTCATTCCCGTTAGGCTGGGACCTTTGGACCTTCTGTGAAGTGAAGTAGCAATATGTTGCTGCAATTGAGGCGGTCCCGAAGCCAGATCCTGAGCGTTTTCCTCGTAGAAAGTAAGTGCATAAAATAGTTTCAGTGCGGTCCGCGTGAGAAAATGAAGAAAATATAGAGAATGGATCAAACCATAACGCAACTCCTTTGGATTATTAATTAATCAACAAACAGCAACAAACAAAAAAGTGGAGAAAACAGTACAGTACATCAAAAGTTCATCGGTGCACGGAACATGTATGTGTTAAAAGACGTTTCGTGACTTGATTGGGATTAACGCTGAGCAGTGTTGGGCCAGTGTGCTCAGTCCAAGCCAGAGTTGCATTTTTTGTGACAAGTAAAAAACCAATATTTCCACTCCACTTCATTGGTAAAAAAAAGGTTCAATTAAAAGGAGCCATCTGAACAATACAAACACCAGAGAATTAGGACAGAGCGAATATACAACAAACGGGGGGGAACGTTGTGAGTTGAGGCGGACGCAGCAACTTTACAGTTATACCCGATACTAAGTCAATATGGCTCTCCTCCGCCAGACGCCACTAATAATGAACGACACGACAAACAATACGTGCGAGAGAGACAGAAAATCACTCTGAGCGTGACGTCGGGCGCTGCGTAGCCAGTGCAAATTGATTTGTTCCTTTTGGTTATAAAAATGATCTGATCTGATCCAGATGATCAGCGAAATTTTGACACAAAACGGTCAAGGTCCGATATCACAGGAGTGTGGATACCAAATTTGGTTGCTCTAGCTCTTATGGGTTCTGAGATCCTTGAACTCATATTTTGCAATTGGCAAAACCGACCATGAAACCTGTGTGTTAGAGTAAGACAGAGCGAGAAAGAGTGAAATTGTTTTCGTGATTCTGGCTATAATATTTATACGATCTGGTTCAGATTTTGCACTCTGGAAGATATTGTCATCTTCTACGATTCTGCGTTTTTAGTTTTCTCGTATCGTCGAAATTGTGGATGCCACAGATTTTCACCCTTTGTGGGGGCGGAAGTGGGCGGGGCAAAGTTTTGAAATATTTTTGGAGCAGTGACATATCACAGAAGTCTGGATCCAAAACATCGTTGTTCTAGCTCTTATAGTCTTTGAGCATTAGGCGCTGAAGGGGACGGACAGACGGACAGACGGACGGACGGACAGACAGACAGGGCTCAATCGACTCGGCTATTGATGCTGATCAAGAATATATATACTTTATGGGTCGGAAACGATTCCTTCTGGATGTTACAAACATCCACTTTTACCACAAATCTAATACACCCCAATACTCATTTTGAGTATCGGGTATAAAAATCGACGAGGAGCTCAGCAGGTCGATATTGCCAGACACATGGCCACCCATTGGGCAACCCAACGGACGCAAGCGCAAGCATCACATGGACAATCCAAAAGAGCCTGCTATCGCTGTCGGGAATCTTCTTAGCTGGGAGGAAAAATGGGACCAGCAATACAATGCCACAAGTCGCAATTTGTACAGAGACCAATGAGGTTGTATTGCTTGGCCTGGAGCTGCAATTCACCGAAGAAATAGGTAACTATAAGTTGTCCACGATCCGATTCGATTCGATTTGGCTGACTAACATTTGTGTGCGTGTGGTCTCTCCCTCCTCCTTTAGCCTCTTCTGTAAGGGTTTCGGAGATCCCCTGGACTAGTCGCAGGCACAGGCGCAGGAGATTTCCCCACAGGTCATCAGAAAGGAAGTCCCATGTACGAGAATCTTGACTTTGAATACGAGTACGAGTAGATATTATTTATAAACATTAGCAGATAGTCCGATATAAACAATTCTTTCATTTCGTTTTGTTAAATGCAAAAAAATTCCTCGGAGATATACTTTGTATATTATCCAATCCAATTGATATCTCTTCTTCACGGACCCTAAGCGGGCCCCTCGCGCAGTGACAGAATAAGGAAAGAATGATATTATCTGTTGTGGATTTTGTATTTTATTTTGCACTTAGAAACTATGAAAAAAATTCGCTTAAACCGTAAACTACGACTAGTGGGGATTTCTACAATGATGGTAGGGTAGGGTAGGGCTGTGCATAGGCGCAGGATAACAGCAGGAGCTGTTCCGCTGATTAACTGGGGAGACTGCGAGGATGCAGTTGGGAGGAACTACATTTTACAAATATAACGTATCCGCGGCGGTGTACATATCCAAGGACTTAAAGTACTTAAATGCGAGAGATGGTGCGAGGTGGTACAGCTCAGATAGAAGATGAGAGCCCCCAGGCTATATTCACAGATAAGCTGACCCAAAAAAAATTCATATAGATAGGAACTGGCTGGCGAATCGAAACCAATCTGAACTGAGACTCGCACGCGTTCAACGCAACAAGCAGCCGGATTTGGCTCTGGCGATTGGGATCGATGATCGTGGATCAATGATCAGTAATCAGTGATCGTTGATCGAGGATCGTCTAGGCAGTGGCTACCTTGGCCGTGAAGGCGGCCAGCTGCGCCTTGAGCGCATCAATCTGGCACAGCAGCTCGATGTTCTGGCGCTCCAGGTAGGCGGCCCGGATGGCAATCTCGTCCTCCTTGATGCGGCGACGGTCGCGCGACTTCTTGGCTGCCGCGTTATTCTTACGACGCCGCTCGTAGTAGGCGGCATCCTTCACCTGTCCGCCGCTGGACGGCTGGAAGCTGGCATTTGCCGCCCCAGAGGAGCTGCCGTTCGAGTGAGAGCCGGTGGTAGACTTGGACTCGAAGTTGCCGGCATGCGAGTCGCAATCGCTGGATTCCTCGGCGGCCGCACGATCCTCGCTCTCGCTGTTGTTGTTCGAGGAGCTGCCCTCGTTGACGCTGCCGCTGCGGGAGTTGGTGCGACGCATTTTGGGGTTCGTCACGGTGCGAGAGCCGCCGTTCGAGCTGCGGATCTGTTCGAGTACCCGCTTCCGGTACTCGGTGTAGCGCTCAACGCGCGGGTTGTCCAGGAGAACATCCGTGGCCGCAAAGTTGGCGGCAATCACTAGTGGGTCGCGGGGGAATGCCTTGAAGGGGCGTGTGTTCTTGCCCGTGTCGGAGGCGCTGTTCGCTACGGTGCTGCTGGTAGGCGTGGTGGAGGCGGTGGTGCTGCTGTTGTTGGTGGTCTGGGCTGCGGGCGGCGATTGTGGGGTCTCCAAAACATCGATCTGCATGGTGCTGGCATTGCTTGCCGGTCGTGGGGAAACCCCCACAGCTGCAGCGGCGGCAGCCGCCGAGGCAGCTGCGAATGTCTGCAGGAGGCTGGCAGTGGCCGTGGCACTGGCATTGGCATTAGGTGTGATCTTGGGGGCGGACGGCTCCTGCTTTATGTTGCCGTAGTAAAAGGCCGGATAGAGGCTGGCCAGCTGCTGTTGCTGCTGTTGGACGGAGTACAGAAGGCTGCTTGGGATAGAGCCAGAGCCGGAGCCGGAGCCGGAGACGGAGCCCGTGGCTGTGGGTGAGGTCGAGGGCGAGCCGCTGCCGTAGCTGTAGTTGGTCTGGTAGGGTGAGGGAGTCTTCCGGGGCGTCTCCACGCTGTCGCAGCGGCGTGACAGATCAAGGACCTCGGCGGAGGCAGCTCCTCCAACTGTTGCCTGCTGCAGTTGCTGTTGATGCTGCTGCTGTTGCTGCTGCTGCTGTTGGCTGAGGGCAGCGCCAAGGAGCTGCTGCTGATAGGCGTAGGCGGTGTAGAGATCCATTTTGGGCAGGGCCAGGCTCTGCTGCTGCAATTGGCTGTGCTGCAGATGCAGATGCTGTTGCTGCAGATGCTGCTGCTGCTGGTGCTGCTGATGGTGATGGTGCGTCTGCTGCGGTGACGATTGCTGGTGGTGGTGATGGTGGTTTTGGTACTGGTGATGGTGGTGGTGGTGCAGCAAAGGCTTGCGATCTATTTAAAAAGAGAGAAGAAGGAGGAGGGATTTCTTAGTAAGCTGTTGGACGGGGGGCTAGGGGGCGTGGCTAACTTACCAGTCTTCAGGTCGTTGAAGAACTGTCCGGACATGAGTTTCTCGTGCATCAGCATGATGTCTGACTAATGGTTGATTAATCCAAAGCGTGATAACTGTAAACTGATGTTCTGCTAGCTCTCTAGCTCGCTCTCTCTGTGTGTGTGTGGTGTAGGTGACGTGACGCTGACTCTGACGTTGGCGAATGCAAACTGATTTCCTTTCGGCAGCCCGACCGCCTTTTATACTGCCGAACCCGGCTGCGCCGACGCTTCATTCGCAATGGCGGCCGAGCCGCAGCCGGAGGGCCACAGCCAGAGCCGAAGCTAAAGACGAAGCCGAATCCGAGCCCGATGTCAGTCAATGTCACGCAGGTAGGTAGGCGGACAGCAAAGGGGTGACGGAGAATATCGCTGTCCTTTTCTCCTCCACTTCGGGGATTGCATCTCGCTCTGTCCAGCATCAAAGGGTTTTACGAGGGTGCCGTGCGGCTGCCGCGGGTGTGGGTGCTGCTGCCTCTCTGCCACTGTCGACAGAGACTTTTGGTTTCCATTTTTCGCGAAAATTTCCTTCGCTGCCGCTGCGCCTGTTTATGCCGTTTCCTATCATTTAAGCGCAAGAGTTTATAATTTTTTGTGTAATTTTCCCCGACCCAAAAAAGCTCTGGATATTATGACAGCAATTGATTAACTTATGATATCAAAATTAAGAAAAAACGAAAGTAATGTGTAAAAGGAACGAAAGTGTCATTCGAAGAGAACTAACGTTAAATATACTAGTGGGATATAGTGAGATATTTATCCACAAATCGCATAGATACATTATCTCTGGAAAAGCAATGATATCTGAATAGGTATAAAACTGAAAATATTTGATTACATATGCAAAATAATAATGTTCTTTGTGATTCTGGATGGGTTATATGATAAATATATATGTACATACATATGAAGATATATATAAATACGCATATGAATAGATATGAAAGTATGGATAACTTTTCTTTAAAGTGCGAATATTATGATTTCTATTCTATGATTGTATGAACACTTTCAATAACTGGAGTTACATAATTCTTTATTCTCTGAAAAATATCTTTGAAAATGAAACCCAACCAAAAATTCCGAATGGTTTGTTGTACGCCACTGCAGATCATATCATTGTCATACCTTGAAAACCCATAACATTACCATCTAGCGAGGCTTTACATCAGATTGCTCGGCATCAATTAGGACCGAGTCGTGCTTCTGGCTCAAAACAGCAGGGAGCAAACGGTATAGAGCGTATAGAGGGAGTGTATAGAGGTACAACAAGGACAGAAGAAAGAGCAGCGGAGATGAGAGAAGAGATGGTTTGCTTATGATAGATGCTCAGTATTTTGAATGCTCAAGGGTTGCGAATGCTAAATGCTAAATCCGTTTGCTGTGCGCTTTTGTCCCGAGATCCTTCTGCTGACCAGCCCAGCCCCGTTCAATCCTCTCACATATCCTTATGGGTGTGTGTTGGTGTTCGCTGGCGAATTCGATGGACATCTTACACAAATGATTGTGCGTGACAAATTATGGAAATTAGCCCGTCAGAACCCGTCCCCGTCGCAGTTGCAGTTGCAGCTTTAGCCCTTTCTGCGTGGTCTCAATTCGCATCCTAATGGATCCTACTCGGCCAGGGCCAGGTCTTCCCAGAATCCTGGCAAGGCCACCGATGACTGACAGGACTGCAATCTGTGGACCAAACATTTCCACAAACATGGCTGGCAGCTACTTTGATTCATGACGCCGCCAAAAACGAGGATCATCGCGACAAGTGTCCAGTCTCGGTCCCCGTAAGGTATGTTGTTTGCCCTCTGGCTGGCTAGCATTTATGCCTTATACGAGTCTGGGCGTGGGATAGCCGTTTGTTTAACTTTACTTAACAGTGATCTTAACGGTGGTCTCCGACTTGAGCAAACGGAAGTGCAAGACTAGCGAAGACCCTGCTCATAAGTATCGGATGTGAAGAGGGTCAATATCAGGGCTGAGAATATGGAGAAGATGCTTCTCGAATTATCTGAATTGTAGCTCTTTTTGTGGATGAACATCGATATTTGGTGTCTCAAAGTGATTTCTCGGTATGGGATATTTATGCAAATTATTAGGAAATACCAAAACAGATTTGACGAATCAAACGAAATATTGTAGGTAAATCCTCTAATATTTAATATATTTTGATAGCCCTTAACAGGCATTCATTCACTCGATCATCGCTCCATTCAGCCAGAGAGATCTCGGCACACAAAAAAGGAGAGGTGCACTGTAGTTCGATAATCAGTAAAAAACCGCGAACTTATCCGCTAATCCCTGTGCTAATCCAACCGTAAAAATGGTGGATTAAACATACATTTTACCCACTCATCCGAACATTTTCATGAACACAACACACAAGAGCACACATTCCCTCATTGAGGCGACGGGTTACCTGAGCGACAATCTCGGCCGAAACGAGTCGGATCGAGCTAAGAGAAAGGCCATAAAAAGTCGCGGGCAGAGTCGAAGCCAAAGAGTTGCCAAATTCGTTGTAAAAACCAGATTCAGCGAAAAACAAGATGGTATATGGCATAGATATAAAGAGAATGAACCTTAAAAAATGATGCCATAAAATATATCGACTGCTGCTGCCGATGCCGCTGTCCTGTCGCTCCTGTCGATCCTTTCGCTCCTTTCGCTGTAATGAGCTCAGGACTTAAGATGCAATATTTGTGCAATCCTTTCATTGGACGACCTTGAGCGCGTTTTTTAAGGGAGTCAGGTAGAGCGCGGGTTCGAACGGGTTGCCATCCGTCACCCACTCCACGCACCCGTACATTCTCGTTTCGAGACCTACATTAGCTGTTGCCTAAAAAACGTGAAACGTTTTTTTGTTGTTTTTTATTGCATAATGGACGCTTCGCGTGAAAAGTCCCACAATCCCTGCAAGCCCGCTGGCCCTGTGCAGAGCGCGTTTTTTAAGCGGCCATAAACAGGCACACCGTCTCTTAAAAAAGGGTTCGTTCGCTTTGGGTACGATCCGGTATGGTATGGAATGGTATGGTATCGTATGGTCCTTCCATTGTGACATCGATTTTTATATTGGTTCGCAGCAACACGGGAATACAAAGAAATCAGCGACTAATTGACTGAAAGGGGTTTTTACTTATTATATTGCTCGCTCTTTGCCTCGTTGCCTTGCCTTACCAAAAAAAAGAAAGGGTGACACGGCGGTTGGGTTCGGGGAATCGATGTTAACTCCTTGCCGGCACCTTTGTCTTAATGGGCTAACATCCTCAAATATTGTCATCCGCAGTACTTTTTCAGTACTTTTATTGGCGAAGCATGGACACGGAGCCATCCAGAAAACCACCAAGAAAGATGAGTTCTCTCTGTCTCCTACCTTAAGATTATTTTCCATATGGATACAAATATATGTAGATGCTGATTTATAAAGGTTTTTAGCCCTATTATAGTGAATATTTATAACATAGCTAGATCTGCTTCTATAGAAAAGGCACCAGGGAACAGTATCGGATGATGCAATGCTCAGAGAACCACTATTTATAAGAAGCTTTTATCGCAGCTAGCACTATGCCAAGAGCAATCTTTGTTGATGTACATACCAAGCGATTACTGGTAGATGTCCGACACAATTGATGAAATGAGATTACTTTCAAATAGAATATTAGTTTGGCCAGTCCAGTCGTTTCATTCAGTTTTCAGCAGTTTTCCGTAGCCTAAGCCCATCAGACAATTCGGATGAAGAGTCTCTCATGCTAATGAGGAAGTAAGTATTGTAGTTAGGAGCTGCTGTGCACTTGGCTTACGGCAAATGAGGAAGTGAACGAGGCCCGGAACGGGAACGGGGACTGGGACGGGGATTACACGTGCTCCGACCCCGAAGGACGAGTCCGAGACAAAAGCCTCTCTCGTCGTGGAGTGTGTTTGTGTAGAGCCAAAAGACTAACCAGCCATGATCGCATCGAAACAGGGGATCTATCTCCAGTCCAGCCGTTCACTTGTTTGTTTTCATACCATATGCAAAGTGCACAAACGTAAGGGATAAGAACAGGAACAGGTATTGGATGAGGACTCTTTTGGGTTGTTCGGTTTTAGCCACTTCCGTAAACGGAAGTGCAGCGGAATGGCAGGAACGGGGGTAGGGGTAGGGGCATGGGCAGGGGAAAGAAGACTAAAAAAGACACAAGTTAAGTACATAGAGAGTAGAGAGGGTAAGGTAGGGTGCACAATGGACAATGACGGAGCTAGCTTCCGTCCTGTCCTCCTAGCGCTGCCATCAAATCCTTTTGCTAATTGTTATCCTACGCACTCCAGTCGCAGTTGCAGTTGCAGTTGCAGTCGCAGTATCCGTCTCAGTTCTATCCTCTTTTTGGCCGTAATCCTGGCAAAGGCTGCTCAATTATGGCATCTCTTTAATTGAGAGACGTCGGGCAGGCAGGATTCTTGCGGTTCATTCATGGTTACCTACCGAAGCGTGCACTGGGATCTCGCAGATATCAGAGATCAGAGGGAGCAGAGTATTGCATTACCCCATGCCAATTAGTGCGGTTTTGATTACCCAAATGACATTTGGCCCAGACAGACGGGACTTGGCCGTGATTAGCCAGCCATCCGCAGCAAGCCTTTCAGAAAGCATCTTCAAAGAGTGATGTCTACGTGTTTGTAAAGTTCCTCAATCTCAACCCCATCGGAGCTGGTGCTTATCTGAAATTTGCTTAGTCCAAATAAGTCCCAATCGAACATTAAATATTGATCCTATTGATAGAAAGAAAGAGTTGGGAATGAGAGAGAGAGAGATAACATTTTGCTGTGACACAAGATTAGAGGGGGCTGGGCAGTGATCGATGGGAAGGAGTGCGAGAGACCCCACACAACATCCACAACAGCAATCGTATAATGCACATCAAATCGCCTCTGACCGGACGAAGACAAAGCCCACAAAGACCTCAATGACCCCATGAGCCATGAGTGTTATTTAAATGGGCAAAACTAACTTGCTACTTCCTTACGCCATTCGTATTGTAGCTGTTGTTCCATCCAGAAGATCCCAG